ACGAGATGTGCAAGTCGGTGCTGAACGATGAATGGATCTCGCAACCGACGTTCGCGAGCGAAGATGCGGGCTTCCTGGCGCACAAGAAGAATGCCTACGAAGAGGCCCTGCACCGCAGCGAGGAGGAGCGGCACGAGTACGACTTCCACATCGACGCGATCCACCGCACGATCCAGATCCTGGAGCCGCTGAACAGCAAGATCGCACAGCTATCGCCCGAGGACCGCGCCGCATTCAAGCTGAAGCCGAACCTAGGCGGCGCAGGGAAGGCGATCCACCAGCGCGTGATCAAGAAGATCTACGGGCGCGAGATCGGGATGGAGGTGTACCAGGCGATCCAGGACACGCCTGCGGCGGCAATTCCGGTGGTGCTGCAGCGGCTGAAGCTGAAGCACGAGGAGTGGAAGCGGGCGCAGCGCGAGTGGAACAAGGTGTGGCGCGAGGTGGACGCGCGCAACTTCCACAAGTCGCTGGACCACCAGGGCATCACGTTCAAGGCGGCGGACAAGAAGGCGACGACGGCCAAGGCGTTCGTGAGCCAGATCGAGGCGGCGCGTGACGAGCAGCGGGCAAAGCGCGCGGCGCTCGTCGACCCGCTCTTTGCGCGCACGCGGCCGCGCCACCAGCTCGAGTTCGTGGTGGACGACGTGCCGGTGCTCCAGGACGCGATCAAGCTAACGCTGTCGTTCCTGGACCGCACGCAGGGCCAGGTGAATCTTGCGGACAGGCGGAAGATCGAGACGTTCGTGCGGTCCTTCGTCCCGCTGTTCTTCGTGATGAACGCGCAGGCGTTCAACAGCGCGTTCGTCCCGCACCATGAGATTGTTGACAGCGACATGGACGTGGACGGCACCGCGGACGACTCGGAGCTCGCGAGCGTGTCCACCAGCGCGCGGGGAGGGCGGGGGAAGAAGGGCGCTGGCAGTTCTTCGGGCGATTTGCGCAAGAAGCTGCTGAAGAGCGAGCAGGCGAAGCTGAGCCGCAGGACCCGTGCGCAGGAGGTGCCGTCGCCTTCCGTGTCGCGCATGGCGTCTCCTGCCGCGTCCGATTCGATACGCGCCGATGGCGAGGAGACTCGGTCTGAGCACGCTACTACCGTGAACGGTGAAGCTGTCGCGGGGCCTTCGAGTGCTCCTATTACGGAGAACGTGTGGCAAGCGACCCGCAAGCGATATAGCTTCTTCACCAATACGACGTTCTACGTCCTTTTCCGTCTGCTGGAGGTAGGCACTTCCGTGACCCACTCATTCATTAGCCTGATCATCGTGTGCAGTTGTTATACTCTCGTTTACATCTCTTCAAGAATATCGCGTCTAAGCTCATAAACGAAGCTTCGACGTCCAAGGAGAACCGCGTGACGGTGGATGTGGGCCTGGCCTCCAGGCTCGGTGATAGGGCAAGAAACGCGGTGCACTTCTACGGCCTGATGCTGGAACTGTGCGAGAAGCTGTTCGATAACGAAATTGAACAACATGTGTTCGAGGACCAGATGCGGTATATGTTTGGCTCCAAGGTATGTGCTGTGACCTCGACTTTTTTGCGGTAGTGCTGACGGGAATGCAGGACGCATACAAGATCTTCACCGTCGACAAGCTCGTCGGAGCGATCGTGAAGCAGGTGAGATCTTGTCGCTTTCTTAGATGCTCTACCTTACGCTCTCTTAGATCCAACAAGTACTTTCTGATCAGAAGAGCCAGGAATTGTACGACCTCCTTCGACGCGAGCGCGAGATACCCTCGCCCACTACACAGGACCAGATCAATAACCGTCGCAACACGGAGAAGATCATTGGTCCAGACGAGAATATCTTCCGCATGGACTGGGCGAGTGTCGTTCTCCCTGTCTTGCGGCCCAAACTGACAATCGCCGTGGTGCAGCTCCCGGAGTCGAAGACAGTCACCATCCAGCTTCTCGGAAAGGACGACTCGGGATACGATGACTCTGAGGTGCTGACCGGGCGGTGGCAGGCCTACATCGATTCTTTCGTTTCGGTGAGTCTAGTGTGCCAGTTCAGTATACTCAATCTATGGTATTTACTTTACACTCGCAGTCGGAGACAACAGAGGGTGTCCCCGCTCACGCCAAGCACCAGCCCTTCCTCAAGCGGTCAGTCCCATACAGCTGTCTCTCACCTCCCATTCTAACTAACCTTTCACCCCTCTTCACTTTTATCCTTCAAAAATTCCTCGCCCGGTACAGTTCGCGGCTCCGCTCGCCAACGCCCCCGCCCATCCTCGCCGAAGGCGGGCTGGAGATCAAGGTGTGCGTGCGCACGTACCGCCTCTTCTACGTCGCGAACTCGGAGGACATCCTCTGGCGTGTCCCGCGCGCCGACGTCGCAGAACGCGACGCGCTGCGGCAGCGACTCGCGCGGGCAGACAAGCGGCGTAAGGCGTGGCTCGAGAAGCTGGACAAGGCGCGCGATGGCCCGGAAAAGAAGAGCGAGGCCGCTCTGACGCCGTCCAGCACGGGTGCGGCTGCCAAAGCGGATGCAACGCCGGTCAACGGGAGGAACGAGAGCGCGCCGCCGAAGCCGCAGGCCGAGCCTGTAGCGGCTTCGTGATAGATGGATACCTTCTGCTTCTGGCTGCAGGTCTCAGCACAGGGATGATTGATGTACGATGTATATACGCTTCTGCGCTCGCTACGCTACGTGTTGTTGTAATAAATAGCCGGACGCCTTGATACCATATGGCCGCCTGCCCACGACACGTACAAGCCGCATTCCAAGATTCCACGCTGAAACCGACCGGGATATATCGATACCTGCCGCCCTCGTACAAGCGTCCATGCGCGCTGCCAGCTTCCGTGTCGTCCGACCAGCACACGACTTCATCCGTCCGCCCAAGAATTCCTGCAATACCGCGCTACCCCGAGCGCTTCGCGCGCCACCCGCCGCCGAGCACGCCCGCGCCGCCGACGCCGAACCCGGCAAATGCGCCGCCGGGGCCCTGCATGCCCGCGGCGGGGGCGCCCGGTGGCGGCGCGGCGGGGACGTCGCCCGTGGCAGAGACCGGGCTCGTGACGCTGAAGCCGGGCTTGGCGTGGAAGGAGGAGCGGTACGACGTCTGCGGGAGCGCCTGGATGGAGAGGAACCTGTTTGGCGTCGGCCGGTCATCGCTGTTGTACTGCGCGAAGATGCAAACGTGAGCATGGGCGATGGCAGATCAAGGGGGTGTAGAGACGGGAGAAGAAGGGAGGAGAGAGGAAAACAGAAGGAGAATAGGGAGGAGAGGGAGGGCGCACCTGGAACTCGAGCCCGATGCCGTCCGCCTCGGAAACGTCAAGGAGCTTGACCATCTTGCGGCCGATCGAGTTGATCTTCTCAACGTCATCCTTGGAGCGCGTCCAGAGCTGTATGCGGTCGACCTTGCTGCGGAGGCTGACGACCGCGCCGCAGATCTCGTCGCCGTCGTCGAGGTCCTCGCCGACGAGCGCCATCGCGAGCCAGCTCCAGCAGCGGTCGAGCAGCGCGGGGTTGCTCTTCATGGTGAGCACCCACTTGCCGCCCGCCGCGTTCGCGGGGTCCTCCCACATCGGCTTGATGCCCGACTTGAAGAGGTGGTAGTTGCTGTTGCGCTCGAGCTTCGACGGCGGCTTGAGCCAGTTGAAGTACCGGCAGAACGACTCAACCGTGTCGAACTCGCCGATCACGGTCAGCCCCGCCTCGTACTCGTCCGACTCGGGGGGCGCGAAAGGCGCGGAGCCCGGCGCGTCGTTCGAGGCGGCGGTTGCGGGTGTGAAGGGGACCTTGTTCTTGGTATCGTGAAAGAGAGTCCTGTGCGTGAGTGTGTATCAGTAAGGTGCGCTAAGCATTAACAATTAGGTCCCTCCGAAAGTACGGATCAATGATGGCTGGTAGCCGCTGTGCAGTGATGTGTGATCATGCACACCTGTGTTGAACATAGAACACGATGTACACCACAAGTGAAATGGGACATGCTCTCGCACTTATGGTTATGCGGGGTGCATTTCTCGATCACGGCATCAGCAGGTGCCACTGCTGATGACTGTGCAAAGATATGACAGAGGGATCCCACCGAATCAGCTCCTATGATGCACTATACTGACCCGTTGGTCATCGGCTGCGATGTCTGTTGGATTGTGCGTCCTCGACGTGCAATTCCCACGAGCCAGCCACGGGTAGCATGGACGCATCACAAGAGACATCTGGCGAGCGCAGAGGTGCTCCAGGGCGCAGATTCTCAATGGAACTGTAGCTCTTCGGGAGTAGCTCCAGCGGATTCGGCTCGTACAATTCCAGAATATGCGGCGTAGATCGCACGGGATACGTACCAGGGATGCTCGAGCGGGTGCTCCGGCGCCTTGATGCGCAGCCCAGGGGTCTTTGGGTCCTCAATCGTCTCTGCCTCGGGGGGCTTCGCGCTGCCGTCGACGCTGAGGGTGCGCGCCTTGGCAAGGCGGGCCGTGATCGCATCGAGGGACGGGATATTCTTGTACCCAATGGGCATCTTGTCCTTGCGCCGCTCGGTCTCGCGGTTTAGCTGGTCGAGCCGCTCAGTCGTGAGCTCCTCACCGGCTTCGCCGACGGGCGTCGTGCTCTGCGAGTGGGGCGGGGACGTCGGGAGGCTCGCGGGGGACACCGAGCGCGTGCTCGACACATTCACCGCCACGGAGTCGGCGGTTGAGGTGGCGGAGTTGCCTGAGACAGCGGAGGCGGCAGAGAGAGAAGTCTGGGAGCCCGTGCGGAGGAGTGCGGCGGCGAGGCGAGGGCGCGCGGCGGCGGAGAGGGCGGGGGCGTTCAGGTTGATGCGGGCAGCGAGCTGGTTGAGCGAGGGCATGCGGGTGCCGCCGCTCGGAGCGGGGCGTTCGGGCTTGGGGACATCGGGCGCAGCGGCGGGGGGCGGGACAGCGGCTACGGAGGCGGGGGGAGTGGCCATCGTCACCGTCGGGAGCAACACCCACAGCGCCGCCCTCCGTCATACATACCCTATACTTGGAAGCACGTTGTGTATTGGCGTATGGACCTCCCCCGGCATGGGCACATGGTGTAGTTGGTTATCACATCCGCTTAGCACTCCAGCTTGCGGGGGGTGCCCGGTTCAATTCCGGGTGTGTCCAGAAGACTTTTTCTTTTTGCGATGACGGCATGGGACTTCGTGCACATATGTATCACTATGTACACATGCCGCGAGCGATGCAGGTGTTGGACGACGGAGTACATGAATACATGATATTTAAGATATACAAGTAATGCAAGCGATGAAAGGGCTAGAGTCCAATGGGGCGCAGGCAGCCCTACAAGTTTGTCACCCGTCACTCACGGGCGTCCAGTTCAAAAACTCCTTGAGCTTCTTCGAAATCCGGCGCGCGCCCTTACGAAGGTCTCGATTTGTGCAGATGCAGATCAGGAGGGTTAGGTCGCCTTCACAGTGCACCAGCGAGAGGTCGACGTCGTCGCCGATGGTTTTCGAGATGTGCGCGAGCGCCGCCACACGGCCTCCAATTGAGCCGCCGCTGTCGCGAAACGTCGGCTCATCATACCCACCCTCAACCGCAATATCCATGAGCTCGGATGCCTTGATGGCATAGCCCCACCGCATGATAGGGGGCAGCGGCTCGAGAGCGATCGGCTCGACCATGGTTTCCGGGATGACATCAATTGCTGATGTCTCCATAGCTTTTATATAGCTCTGGTTCTGCGCCGGATGAAAGTCTAGAGAATAACCACGACTGAGAGAACGGGCGATAGCTTACCGACGAAGGTCGTATGCTCTCCGGGAGCTCCTCGACGCGCATCTCGTACATCACCGAAAAGGCGTCCATCTTACAACCTATTATAAGGTCATTACGACGGGTTATAACTACATTAGAACTGTTCAAATCGTTGTAAGATATGTAATCTTGATAATCCCATTATATTTCTATAACATCACTTGCAAAGAGATGGCGACTACATTGTGAGTTCATTGCCATAGCACAAATATTGAGTGCATCAGAATTAGTGTAAGCTTGTGAGAGTTTGTAAGGTATTCCGAAAACGCTTGTAATGGGGACAACCTAGTGGCCATAGAGAAGTATTATAATGTTGCGGTCATTACAATGGCATTACAATGCTCTTATAACGCTCTTACGACGATCATCAAACACGCTTGTATTCCG